CAGTTGGGATGAGAAGAATAATGATTAGTCATGCAAATAGTGTTGGTAGCCTGAAGTGACAAAAACCATGTTGCACGACAAATGTGTGTTGCAAAACTCCACAGAGCCAGCTCATATCACAGAGTCTACTATTTGTTCCAGCTCAAAGCAGCAGTGGAGCTGAAAGAATAACAATTATTAGACGGGCAGACTAGTGTTTGGTAGCATGAAGCGCCAAAAAACCATAGCGCATGACAAATGTGAGCTGTGGAGTCCGTGCCTAAAAACAGTCACATGAACAAGAGTTGGAAGCGCAAGCGCCAAATCAATGTACGTGCCTTAATTAATGCAGTGCCGGAGTAGATAGAGACAGGAAAAACCCTGCTCACTCTGCAGCCCGAGTCACTATGGCATTAGGTGTAAAACAGCTTGCCATAGGAATTTACTCTAGATATGTGAGCGTGCCCACTGATTTGTTCCAGCTCAAAGCATCAGCGGAGCTGAAAGAAAATAGATATGTGAGCTCGCCCACTGATTTGTTCCAGCTCAAAGCAGCAGCGGAGCTGAAAGACAAATTAACAGCTGGGCAGACTAATGCTTGGTAGCATGAAGCGCCAAGACCGTAATGCATGACATACATCCGCTGCAGGACTCCTAGAGTCTGCGCCTAAAAGCAGTACACGAAACAAGAGCTGGAAGCGTAAGCACCAATTCAAATGCACGTGCCTGCATTAGTGCAGCACGGAAGTAGAGAGAGAGAGATAGGAAAACCCGTCTGCATTATAGCATTAATGTTAAAACAGCTTGCCACTTAATGTTCCAGCTCAACGCAGCAGCAGAGCTGAAAGAAATATTATATTACTCGGGCAGACCAACGCTCGTTAGCATGAAGCGCCAAGACCATGGTGCACGACAAAACATCTGCTGCAGGACTCCTCAGAGTCCGCACCTAACAACGGTACACAAACAAGAGTTGAAAGTGTAAGCGCCAATTCAAATGAACGTGCCTGCATTCGTGCAGTGCCACAAGTAGAGAGAGAGAGATAGGCAAAACCATCTGCTCACTCTAGAGCCTGCGTTATAGCTTTTTAATAAGCAGGCTTGTCTATAAGAATGCACTTATCCGTGAGCTCATCCACTTATTTGTCTCAGCTCGACGCAGCTGCGGAGCTGAAGGAAATAGTCGGGCAACTAATGCTTGGTAGCACAAAGCGCCAAAATCATAGTGCACAACAAATATCTGCTGCAGGACTCCTCAGAGTTTGCGTCTAAAAACAGCACACGAACACGAGTTGGAAGCATAAGCGGCAAATCAAATGAACGTGTCTGCATTAGTACAGCGCAGCAGGTAACGTTAGAGAGAGAGAGAGAGGGGGGAAAACTCGGCAACCGCAGAACTGGAACAGCGGGGGTTGAACGAACGTCTCTCCTTCCTCAGAAAGAGAGCGAGCCCAGAGCGCAACTTTACTAACAAACACAGATATCACGGATACAAAAATAGATAAAGGCCGCGAAGCGGTCTTCCTACCTGTTTCCTCGTGAGTCCGTGTAACATGCATCCATACATACCGGAAAACTCATTGTGTCCGCTTTAGAGGAGTAAACTGCTCTAAATAAATAGATGGCTAAGAACACAAGAATCTTTTTCCGACGGTCAACAGAGGATTCGCTTCCTGCAGGAATTAAACTCTGATGAAATGGCGCGCAGCACGCATATATGAGCATACGTGACGTATGCTCGGGGCGGTGCTAAGCGCTATTGGCCAATGAATTGGCGTGATGGTATAAGGGCTTCAGACATTCGTCACACCGGAGGTATTCCCATAGCGATGACGTCATCGCAACGTTCGCAATGTTCATAAGTGAACCTATGAAAGGGAACTCTCCTTTCACTTGGCAACTGTGAAGTGGAGCAGGACAACCTCCCACCAGTCCTTGTTTTGGATTCTCATTCACAGGCAACCCGTTTTGGGCGTGGGGAGGGGCATTTTTACTGCGTGATAAATATGAGCAGCACGGTACAGCGGTTTAAATGCATATTTATCCATAAATTAATACATTTTAATTCTGCTGTTAAAAACAAATAAAGAAGCCGTGTATGAGAGTGGTTATTATGTGCAAACCGTAAGCAACTCTGTATTTGTGCAGTGTGCGCATGTCAAAAAAATTAATTCCGATTTGAAGCTTGTGACATATAAACGCGCACATCAACCCGATCACTTTATTTAGCGTTCATGTAAACACTACATTCAGATTCATCAATCGGAATGAATTTAGTCTGATTGAACCAAAAATTGTGCATGTAAACGTAGCCAGTGTGAGATATTTAAATGTAGAACAAGATTTAAAAACATTCCACACCCCTCTTACAATACATCTACTCCTTGACTTGAGTGCAGAATCAAAGTTTTCAGTTTGTTTATTTATTTATCTAGAACACAGCATTTAAATTCTAATGCTGTACACAAGGTCAAGCTACATTATGACACACCTTTCTTCAATGTTCTGAAGCAATTGCATGTTTTCTGCATGTAGTCGACCTGAAGCATGCATTCTCAACCTGAAGCACATTCTTGATGCATTTGCTGTAAATTATTTATTTAATGACCCAAACAAAGCTACCTGGAAATGCACTTAGAGAAAAGACTAATGGCAAACCTGGTCAGTTTGTTGATGACATCTCCTTGTAGAGACGACTCCCAGTTCAAAGGATCAAAATGGACAGGCTGCCAGGTCCACAGAGAGTTGTAGGGTCATTGAACACTCAAGGTATTTATACAGTTTTTATATCAAAACCCTGATCAGAAATGACTCACTTCATGCTAGTGACTAGGCACTGTGCCAGTGACAATGCAGTGACTAGGCACTTTGATCAGACTGAATCCCTCTTCAAAATACCTCACAGAAAAGAGAATTACGTAATGTCTCCCATTGCAGTACATGGCAGAGAGATATATCTAGGATTCCATGATAGCATTGATGTATAAATATGTAAATAGTAAATTTTAGTTGAAAATGGGCTTACTTGCACATTTATTCTGAGATAGACATGTCTTTGATAACTGATGTGTTTATAAGATGACTGTGATATAATAGGTATTCTAAAGTGACCTCGAATCAGATGCTATTCATAGAAATATCAATAATGATCATGCTTTTGTTATACTGTACTTGTAAACCTGAGGCCTCCGCCTTTATTTTCCTAAATAAAATATAATTTACTTTAAAACTCAACTTAATCTCAGGCAAAAAAAGCGACTTTTCATATGCAATGTTTTTACTGCACATATGCTGAAATGTGCAATATGGACTTATTTACAGCATCTGAAACAAAAGTTTTCAATAAAGAACAAGAAAAGTTTTGTGTTGCTGAATTGGTGGCTGATTCGTGTTTGTATGATCTTATTAGTACATTTTCATACAATCTGCCAGTGGCAGGCATGTTTAAGAGTGGGGTTAGGGGTGGACATTCACGCGTACTTTCCCCCCCCCTATAAATCGTATGTTTTTGTATGATTCACAACAAACAAATTCTTACAAAATCTCAGCTTCATAAAATAGTTATGATTTCTTGTAAGATTGGGTTAAAACTTTTATGTATGGAAAGCTTTAGAAACTAAAAAATCTTTACATGTCCACTATATTATATTTGTATTATACATGTTTACTAGTAAATATATTTAAATTCAAAGCCGTTGTAAAATATTCTATAAACACACACCTGTGATCTTATTACTTAAGTATTACTGTTGCTGTGTGATTTTTTTTTATGAAACCTTTCCAGGTAAATGAAGTAGCTGTCTTATAAAGGCTGTCAAAGCAGCTCCAAAAGTTCTTTGATGCCTGTTTCACATATATTTTTTCAACCATATTAATCACATTAAATCAGTATTTGATGTACCTAAAAAGATTCATAAACATTTGATTTGTTCATACTTAAAATGCCTTTATGTTAGATGCTGTCATGTAAATATATGAAAATATATGCTGTTAGAACAAATAAATATCTCTGATTACTGACATTAAATATCACTGACCTTATTACATTACCGTTATGCACTTAATATCGTCATTGTTAAAGGGATAGTTCACCCAAAAATGAAAATTCTGTAATTAATTACTCACCCTCATGTCGTTCCAAACCCGTAAGACCTTCATTCATCTTCGGGAACACAAATTTTAAAATATCTAAGATATTTTTGATGCATTCCGAGAGCTCTCTGACCCTCCCATAGACAGCAAGGATATTACCACGATCAATGCACAGAAACGTAGCAAGGAGATCGTTAAAATAATCCATGTGACATCAGTGGTTCAACAGTAATTTTACGAATCTACGAGAATACTTTTTGTGTGCAAAGAAAACAAAAATAACGAATTTATTCAACAATTCATCTCCTCCGCGTCACCCTATAGCACCATTTTGGAGAGTATCACATACGTAAACAATATATGCTGTTCTGTGTCAGCAGTACCGTGTGCGGATACTCTGTTTATGTTGTTTACGCTTTGATCTGAATGTAAACAACGTATCTGCGTACATACGTTGTTTACATATGTGATACTCTACTAAAATGTGCTATAGGGTGACGCAGAGGAGACAAATTGTTGAATAAAGTCGTTATTTTTGTTTTCTTTGCACACAAAAAGTATTCTCGTAGCTTCGTAAAATTACGGTTGAACCACTGATGTCACATGGATTATTTTAACGATCTCCTTGCTACGTCTCTGAGCCTTGATCGTGTACGGATCCTTGCTGTCTATGGGAGGGTCAGAGAGCTCTCGGAATGCATCAAAAATATCTTAATTTGTGTTTCGAAGATGAACGAAGGTCTTACAGGTTTGGAACGACATACGGGTGAGTAATTAATGACAGAATTTTCATTTTTGGGTGAAGTATCCCTTTAACATTATCAATCACTGTCATCACCATCACTATAATCATCACTTCACCATCTTTGTCCTCAGATTTTCTACAGTCACCTCGCACCTTTCTCATCTCAAGTGTTTTGTTGTTTCAGAGTTTCAGTGGATATCTGAGCTGGTGGCACCTGCAGCCACATCCAGAGCTGCAGACCCTGATTCTAGCAGATTGATTTCACCTGATCAGAAAAACACTGCTGCACCCAATAGATCTTCAGCTACATCTGTGGACACACAACGAGAACGACCAGACAATGCAAGCACTATTGTGTCTCAACCTACAATATTTAACAGCAATACTGTTAACACAACCAGCATCCCCTTTACAACAACCACAAACCAGATTAGCACTACCCAATCATCTGCTGCTAAACGGCACTCCAAAACACCTAGGACAACTATAAGAACTACAACTACACAATCTCCAAAGACAACAACTAGAATCCTGCCTGACTCCATCTCACAGAGCGCTAAGTTGAACCCTTCAAAAAGCACTTTAGGAACTCCAAGAGCTGCTGCTACTGAGGCCTCAATGCTAAGATGTAACATCACTGACAAGATGTGGATAAAAACAGGTGTGATTGCTCAGATCAAATGGTGATCTTTATGAAATGACAGAAAATTGTTGTACTGTAAATCAGTGTTGTAATCATTCAAGTCTGAGTCAAGACTGAGACCAGAAGTGGGTTGATTCCTAGTTAAGTCCACATGTTCCCAAGTCATTGACAAGACCAAGAAAATGAAAATATGGTCTTGGACTCATACTCAAGATTGAGTTCAGTTTCAAGTACTACAACATTTATTGTCATCTGCCACTGCTGTCATCATTCATGCTGAATAAATCTACCTGTACATGTTTAATTAATGTTGAAAGCTATTTGTTATCATGACAGCTCATGTAGGTGCTACTGAATCAGTGTTACATTACTCAATAATTGACTTGATCTCGAATCCAAGAGCATATTTCCATGATGGATTTGGGAGCATGTGGACTAGGTCTTGACTTGAACTTAACCTTCTTCTGGTCTTGACTTGGGCCCTATTTACACCTGATATTAAGATGCATTTTGGTTGATTGGGTCATAACAAGTTGAGGAGACACCTTTGTGTCTCTTTTGTTCACTATTTATTTCAATTTCTTTGAGGGAAGAGTCTATGGGTGGGTGTATGTATGGGCTTTTTCTGATCTTTAAATCTAATATTGCAAAATAAGCTCAAGCAATTTAGTTATGAGCGTAAAAGGAGACAATGGTAAAGGATTCTTAAACATCTTAATACCAGGTGTAAACAGGGCATTGGATGAACTGATCCTGACTACAGCACTACTGTAAATTTCAGTGAGCATTGCAAATAGGTGTATTCAAATGCCTTACAGAATTAGTATTACATACATTTACAATGTAATTGATAACATCATATTTTTCAATGCATTTTTCACTTCATTTTTCCCCCTGTCAATGACAGTGTTGTCCGTACAGTTACGGAGGAGTCGTCTAGACAGTATTTTGAAGCAGAATCTCCCTCGAGGGTTTACTCAAGGTTTGAAGAAGGCCTTGAACGACAGCATGGTTCAGGCTAAGGTTTGCACTTCATGAATTTATAACACAGTCATCATTTACAGTTTGTTCTGCATCAAGTATGCACCAACACAAATTACATTTTGCTTTAAGCAATGTTTGATGTCTTGATATAACTACCACAAGATCTACCCTCTAAATCCGACCTCTTCAGTCATACATCCTTCTCTTAACATTAGTAAACCCATACTGAAGTTTTATTATACCTGCAGAGTTAGTGTTTTAGCCAGTCACCAGGCTGTAAAACCCATGTGACTGATTGCTCTGAAAGTGCAAGAAAAATATAAATCCTTTTCACATGGTTTTGAGCACTCCAAAAAGATAAAACATCTATAATATAAATATTTATTTATTGCTGTATATATGTTGCACACAAATTGTATTATTAAGAATATCCATCCCTGGTTAAAAGATTTGGGTAACACTTTAGAATAATGGTCCGTTGTTAACAAGTAACTATGCAGGACTACATTAACACTTAACTTAATACTATTAACTAATAGAGAAGCAAGATGAACTAAGCAGTTAGTAGCAAATTTAGGACAAAGGTAGTTACTTATTAGATATTTGATAATTACTAAAAAAAATATATCCTCATTGAGAACTACTTGCGAACTGTTACGAACTACCAATTAATTACTAATCACAACAGTAACGTCTTAAAAGTGAACAATTGGGTTCTTTGTGGAAACTAATTTATGAATATGATATCCCCCAAATAAGTCGGCTACAGGTTGAAATTGTGACTACTATTCTTACCATAGGATGGATGTTCTCTGTTTATTTCAAACAAAAACATAAAATAATAATAAAAATTATTCATTTAAAAATGTTAATAATTAGGAAGTGATTGAATTAGTTCACAATTATGAGCTCTAGTTTGTGTCAGTTCAGTATGTCTCCGACTCCAAAAGACCTATACCTTTAGTGACAGTAGGCTGGGGAGGACTTTTCTTGAATATAAATAATGATGTTCTCTTGACAAAAACAATTCACATCCTTAATGAAGGCATCGACTGCATTTATATTGTGTTAAGCACAAAACCGCATATTCCAGATTACAGTGTCTGGTAAAATATCACTAGTGCCTCACACAAATGTATGTGTCAGATATAAAATATGTTAAATAACTTATTAAATTACTTAGTAATTACTGAGTGGTTAAGGTGTTTTTCACTTTAAACTAATGGTCCAGATCAGTAGTAGTTCCTGCAGGCTGACAAGGTAACGCTTGAGTAATTAGTGAGATGCTAATGTATTTTTCACTTTAAAGCTAAAGTGCTACTAAGGAACTACTAGTGATCTGGACCATTATTTTAAAGTGAAACACATTAACCTCTCAGTAATTCCTCAAGACGATTAATAAGTTATTTAACATTTTATATCTGCCACTGTCACGGGCAGGGTGTTCCAGAGATCAGGCAGGACGACGAAGATGACGAATAAAAGGATATTTAATGATATGACAACAGGAGATCCAGACAGGGTAGACATCAAACACACAGGGTAACATTCACAATAACCGACAAACTAGAATACAAGAGACAGGAACTAATATAGGGCTCCTGGGCTGAATTGGGTATCAGGAGCCCTTCCTGGGCTAAACGAGGAATCAGGGGCCCTTCCTGGGCGGAACTGGGCATCGGGAGCCATTCCTAGGGTCGACAGGGGATCGGGAGCCATTCCTAGGCTCGACAGGGGATCGGGCTCCCTCGTGGTGGGCACTGTGACCGGCTCTCGCACCTGGTCTGACGGGTTGGGCTCATTCGGGGCGCGTGAAGGGATCCATGGGGTGAACACAACGGAAAGAAAAACACTGAGGAAAAACCGGAAAACAAACGGAGGGGAGAACACTGCTTAGTTAATCTTGCTTCTCTATTAGTTAATAGTATTAAGGGTTACACTTTACTTGAAGGGGTGTGCATAAGACATGACAGCTTCATAATCATGACATGACACATGTCATGAATATGAAGGAGGTTTTATGCATGTTTATGACAACTGTCATTAAGTGTCATTCGCTCAGTTATGTCAGTTTTAATGCAAAGATGACATTGTTTGAGATGTCTTTGTTAGGGAGGGTTAGGTTAGGGTTAGGTCAAACAATGTCATCTTTGCATTAAAAATGACATAACTGAGCGAATGACACTTAATGACAGCTGTCATAAACATGCATAAAAACTCCTTCATATTCATGACATGTGTCATGTCATGATTATGAAGGTGTTATGTCAGTCTTATGCACACCCCTTCAAGTAAAGTGTTACCGTATTAAGTTAAGTGTTAATGTAGTACTACCTATTACTTCCTGCATAGTTATTTGTTAACAACGGACCATTATTCTAAAGTGTTACCAAGATTTGTTTTGCACACATAATGGTGTAATTCACCAGCAGGGGCTAAGCATCCGTGTTATATATCTTGTTTTCAGCAGCTTTGTTGCTTTATTTGTGTCTATTGCTTTCCATCTTCTCTTTCTCATTTTAATATGTGTTTACTTCAGATGTGTCCCTTAGTGAAAACTGTATGTCTTATTTTAGTCAAGGGAAGCTAGGCTAATCTGCTAAATACTGACACCTAACAAAACCAAACACACAATCATTGTCAGGGAGAGTCAAACCTTACTATAGGAAAAATAAATTGGTTGAAAATGGAAACAGAATACTGCTATTAGTCACCGCTCAGTTACATCTTAGGTTTTTCAGATGTCAATGCAGTCCTCATGTTGGAAGCAATCCGGGGAGAACTGAAAAGTTTGTGGCTCATCAAATTGTTGATTGAAGGACCTACAGGGGTTTGGATTTAGCCATAATTTTGTAATGTAAGAACATAACATTAAAGTAATTATTCACATCCCCTGGGAATTTTATATATATATATTTTTTTATTTTATTAAACATTTTAGATTTACAACAAAGCCCAAGATCTGCCCATATACACAAGATACAAAAAAGTAGAAATAATTCTATCAATGAAGGTTGTAAAACCTATGCCAGAAAAAAAAAACTATGACTAAAACAATATTATCTATCTATCTATCTATCTATCATCTGTCTGTCTGTCTGTCTGTCTTGAGAAAATAAGATATTTGATTTATCTTTGATTTATTTTTATTTCAACTTCCCTTTTTGAAAAGTTAAACTTCTCCTTGTGTTTATTTGAATGCACTGGATGGAACATGGGGGGCAAACAGGTTTTTGCTCAAGAAACATTGTTATGCATCAGCTCCTCTGTAATAAGATCATATTAAGCTGCTAAATTTCCAGTTCAAGGATCCAGAAAGCGAATGCATTCCACAGTCAGTCCCAAACAGTACTAATGCAGAATAAACCCAGCTGATTACATGGCAGACTCATGTTCACTTTTCAGTGAATCATTCATTCCACTGCATATTTACTTAAATTAAAATGTATTACTTAATGGATAAAACTTTTTAAATTAGCACCAAACTACAGAATGCATCTTTAATGATAGTGTTTCCTGTATATTTCCACCTTCAGATTGAGAGCATATCTAGTGTACCTAATGTGACGGTCGGTTACTATGTGACCCATGGAGAGATGGTGTACACTGCATCGGTGGTGGTGGAGGCTCTAAGTGTCTATGGTATTGAGAGATTGATGGCGGACATCCGGCAGTTTGTGCCGCTGGTGCAGGCGATTCCCATCCCAGCAGTCCCCTGGAGACCCAGCCCTGCCATCACAATGATGCTGAAGACAGGTCAGACTCACAGCTCATTCTCTGTCACCACACTAATGTGCAAATGCTCATCATTTTTCCATATCCATTTAAGAATCCAGTCATTGTCCTTACAAAACTTTAGAGACTGGGTTAGTTTTCACCCTAAATACTAGTTCTCCCTGTGCAAGTCATTTTTGAAAACAAGGCTCAGGTTGAATGTCATTTAAATCAAACTTAATTGGTTCTCAAGTGTCTTGTAAATGAAATGTTATGTATAACGTTGGCACATTTGATCTGAGAGCTGCAGTGGAGGTGACGATTTTTAGTGAATTTTTGGCCTGTTCTTCAAAGCTATCATATGACATGGAATGCAGCAAATTATCCAATGATCCCCACAAACTTCGTATTTATAGGTTTATTTCTTTAAGACAGTCTCAAACTATATATATATATATATATATATATATATACACACACACACTTTATATGCTGTGCGTTAAGATCCATTGGTTAACAATAGTATTAATTCAATAAGATTAGCTTATAGAACTTTTGATTTTAATTAGAGGTTGAACGACTTCTGATTTTTTAAAGTCGACTTTTATGTGATGATGTGGAGTCGCTGATGATGTCATTAATGAACAAATAAGTCTGGAGCTGTGACAAACACCTTGTGCACAGCTATGGTATATGACAGCGCTGCCCACATGGCTATTGCTCCTATAACAGCTCCTTTGTATCAGTTATTTTGTCTTTGGGTCGTTATATTTCTCACAGATTTCTGCTCGTTCTAAATCAGATACAGATAAAGTAGCACAGTAAAGATTACATTCACATGAATGTATCAGTGAGCATGATTGCGTGTGTGAATTAATTCTACCTGACAGCATATCTCTACTAGTAGTGAAGCTGTGGGATTTAGTTATTAAGAAATATATGCTTGAACTTTTCAGTTTCTAAGCTATTTTATTGAGAAATCACAGAACAGTGACTACGTTTACATGGGCATCAGTAATCTAATTATTTACCTAATACTAAATAAGCCAATATTATGATTATGGTGTTTACATGAGTGGCTTTTAGAATATTCCTTTCATGTTCCCGTTTTACATGTTATAGTACATAGTTCGATTAATGGCACACGTCATTATGTCCCCACGTGACGCCATCCGACGTCCCCTCTGGAATTTCACTTATAAACATATAGTTCGTCTTCGTGATGATGCCATGTACAGTTTTGGGTGTTTCATTTTTAATTTTAAGAAAGCTTTAAGCGCAGTTAATTATTTGTACGTGCATTCAGACGATGGCGGTGTTGAAGCTCTTTTATTTGCCGTCAAACGGTTGACCACTGCCGTGTGTGTATCCTGTCGCGAAATGCGGTTAAAAGTCCTACATGACGGTAATAATGTGATTAAGGTGTTTACATGTCAATACTGCACTTCAGTAATGCGACTAAAATAGAAATACTCCACATGTCTTAATTCGATTATGTAGCGAATCAGCTCATTCATGGGGTAATATGAATAATTAATCATAACTAGTTATAATTGATTATAAATATTTAGATCCGCTGTAGATATTTACTTGACCTCTCAGGGTCAACTGTCTG